GACATGACAGGCCTGATCATGATCATCACGGGAGCTCTCCGTGACGACTTCAGTGTGTTCCACAATGCCCTTGTAGCCTTCTTCTTCCTCCTCCTCTTCTTGTATGGTAGCAGAAGGGTGATCTGGAGCAGGTTGCGCCCAAGATCGCTCAAGATCATCGACGCTCTTCTTAAGGCTCAGGAGGATCTCATCTGTTTCACGATAGGCCTGGACACACTGATCCATCCTGGAGCATGTTCTCTCGCAGTCTCGAGCATACTGCTCCATGAGTAACTCCAGTGCCGATGGCCCTTCTGGTTGTGGGAGAAATTCTTCTTGATAATGAGGTTGTTCTAGATATGCCCAGGGGTCCGGTTGTTCTCCGTAGTAAGGGGGTTGGTACTGGAACCCGAATCCATAGTCTTCTCTGCCTTGATTGCTCCAGGGAGTCTCGGGGTAATACCACCCAAATGGTGGTGGATACCCCCAATGATTGGAGAAGCCATTAGGATCCATGATTCAGATCTGCACCAACAAAAACAAAAACACCCAAGTGAAAAGCAAGGGTGAAAAAGAAAAGAAAAGAAAAACGCTAAAGTAACAAACTTCTGCCTTTCCTAATAATCTAGAAAGTCCCCGGCAACGGCGCCAAAAACTTGACTCGCTATGACACAACACCTAACAATGGCCAAGTGTAACCAATGAAAGGGACTGCAGTATAGTGGCACAAGTAATAAATATCGAATCCACGGGTCTCTAGAGTTACTATTACTCAACTTCAGTTTATTATTTAGCAAACCAGATTAAGATGAAAGAACTAAAACTACCCTAGCAAACTACAGTTAAAGTTAATCTAATTACAGGTTGGGAACTCACTTAGGGATGATTCCCCCTAGCCACTAGCCAGATTAACGATTGATGATCTCTAACCTGTTTCACTTTCATTCACAATGCGGAGAATCCTTGACTAGACCTTGAGTCTCGACTAAAGGAACAAGGCCCTCTTGAGTCAATTGCCTAGAGGGACGTATCCTTCTCTAGAACAACTGATCAAGGCGTTCTGAACTAGACTCCCTCTATCGAAAGAGGTTCTCAATCGATACAAAGCAGTGAATCAACCCTCGACTAAAGCAATCGATCCACTACTATCAATCTATGGTGCTCTATTGGCCTAATCAGGTATTCCCTCTCATAGAATCAAAGCAGAATCAATAATCTCGACTAAAGCAGAATTGAATCATGAAAACATGCATAGATTGAATATGAACTCAAGATTATCCAGTCAGAGTACTCATACAATCATCCAATCAAACAAACATAGCTAGGGTTCCTCAAAACCTAAGTGAAGGGAAGTTACTCCATAGAGAAGAGAGAGACTGCAGTAAGAATCTTCAGATGATCAGTCTTCAAGTCCGGGCTTGTTCCTCGAGCTTCCAAGGCGAAGAAATCCTCCTTCTCTACTCCAAGAATGCCCTCAAATCGCCATCTCTCTCTTTGGTTCGTCCCTTGGGTGTTTGGGATCCAAAAACCCAGCTATGCCCCTCCTTTGGCTCGAATTTGGGTTAAAAACAGCCATTCCCGACTCGCACGGCCAGGGTGCACGGCCGTGCACATCACCATTCTGGCCGTGCACCTCAAAACGCGGCGTATCAATTAGTTGAACCTCAGCCAACTCGCACGGCCAAACTGGTCACTTGCACGGCCGTGCGTGGCCACGCACAATCCCGTGCGTGCCCACGCACAATCCCGTGCGTGCCCACGCACAATCCCGCACGGCCAAACTGGTCAATTGCACGGCCGTGCGGGTTGTGGGTGTGCCCGTGCGACTTCCTCAGAACCTCGCCATGCGTCCGATCCTCGTCCAATCGACCCCAGACTCGCTCCTAAGCCTTCATTCACGTCCTAGGACCTGAAATATCACAAACAAGCACAACCTACCGTGAAATCGGCCTAAAGCACGAGAATCAACACCTCAAACGGTGTAAGAATGGGGGTAAAAACATGTGTAAATGACGGTCTATCAGAATGGCAATTAGATTGATAGGTTTTCACACAACAAAATCATTCATGAATAATGCCTCCTCATTCACATTAAACACAACCACACACAAATTATTTAATTCATACAAGCATTCACATAATTGTAGATAGGGTTTACAACACCCAAGTGAAAGAAGGGACAGCTCCATGCTAGGAGAAGGAAAAACACAAGAGAGAAGAAGGAAAACCATCAAAGATATGCTAGCCTTGCTCATTGTGTTGAAGAGATCCTCCTTTGGGGGAGGAATTCACAATTCCTTGCTTGAAGATGAAACCCTAGCTTCTCCTCTTCTTTGGTTTGTCACTTTCTCACTCTAGAAATCTGAAGAAGAATAAGAAGAAGAAGTTTCTCACACTAGGTCTCTCTCTTTCTCCTTCCTTTCAGCTGGCCTTTTATACTAAGATCGCGCCTAGTTCACGGCCGTGAACATCAAGATGTGTCCGTGAACACAATGAGCTTGATCAAAACACACTGCTTCACTTACGGGTTCACGGTTTGTGGTTCCTGTTTAGCGACCGTGAATAGCCTTAGCGTCAGTAACCCCAAAAACCCCTCTGGACGCCTCGCGGTTCACGGGTTTTGTTTCCAGTTCACAGTCCTGGAGATCGTGAACTCCAATGCTGGACCGTGAACACAGGCTGAATCCTCCTCTTTACCCGGTCTTGGCTCCTTTTCTTCCAACTTTCAACTCCGGGGGTTGGTTCCACCTATTAGACTCTGAAACGCACTGAAACACAAGAAATAGGTAGCGTAAACCACCCCTTTTGGAGCTCAATTTCCATAAACGTTAAAGAGAAACGGGGATAAAAAGTTTACAATTAGGACCGAATCAATTGAATGAAGAAAGAGGAGTGGGAAATTATTGATCAAACTATCTAGTGGCTGATGGAATACAGAAGGCTATAATTTGAACCAAATACCTCACGCATGCAGAGGATAGTCAGATGGGAGCCATCGTGAAGGGGCCTATTCAAGATATATGTCGACGCAACAACTTTTGACGATAGCGTGTTGGAGTGGTAAACTCGGATGAGGATGGAAATATCTGTCGGTGAAGTTTGGATTGGAGCTTGCTCGAAGGTATCATTTCATCTATGGGGTTGTTGAGTCTGACTGTCTAGTTCTTATCTAGGGAGTGGAGCAGGAAGATAAAGCTGAATCTCAGTTAGCTTATGCGGGTAGTGAAATTCGGACACGAGATGAAGAAGTAGGAGGGCTTCGTGATGACTCGATATTTGCACATGTTTTGTCCATCATTCTTATACTGGTTGAGGCTCGTTTCTTGTGTTTTAAACCAATTTCACGCTAGTTTGTTCTTGTTAGTGATATTTCATGTTGTAGTGTGTGAATGAAGGTTTGGGCACGAGTTCGGGGTAATTGGATGAAGTTAAGACGTTCGACGGGAAGCTGAGGAAATTACACGACCAGCCCAATAATCCCACACAGTCGTGCGTGTTGGCCGTGCACCTTGGTTTGCGCAACCAGGGGTCGCACTGGCAGTGCAAAAGTGTGCCCAGCCCGTGCGGGTTGTCCAAATATATGCACGGGCAAGTTGTCGTTTTACACAGTTGTACGCTGGTTGTGTGTCTCCTACGAGCCATTAATCGGAGCGCTGCGTTTTGGGTTTACACGGGCACATTTCCATTTTACATGGTCGTGCTTCCTGGCCGTGTAATCATGAAAATCTGGGTTTTAACCCAATTTCAGGTTTTGAAGAGGGGAGTCGAGTTTAAGAGCTTAAAACAGTGGTTTAGATAGAGAAAGTGACGAACCCAACCTCCAAGGTGTCCTAGATTGAGCTTTGACACCATTGGAGCTCGATTAAAGTATAGAGAAGCATAGATTGACAACCAGAAGTTGAATTTCTTCCTCCACATGATGATTTCTGCATATGAAGCTGATTTCACTTCTCTCTCTATGGAGTAAACTCCCTCTCTCACCTAGGTATGAAGAACCTTAGATTTGTATGTTAAGCTTGATTGTATGAACCCAAGTACATGATCTTTTGATACTGATTATATTCAATTGACGCATGATTTTTAAATTGCATGAATCTTGATCGCATTCTTGTAGTTTATGCTTTAACCTAGAAAGAGAATATCTTAATAGGTTGATAGAGCACCCTTGACTGAAGGTGGTGAATTGGCTACTTTAGTCGAGAAGTCAATTTAGTGCTCTGCACTGGATTTAATCAAGTAGAGGAGGTTTTGCACGTTAGGGCCTCAGTTCGTTTACTCCGGTGGAGGTTAGTCGCCCACCGGGTATTCAGACTGGGAGGGTCTGAAGACCTTTAGTCGAGACTTCAGACTAAATAAGAACCTTCCGCAATATAACTATCATTATATATGAACTTGGCAAAGTACAATCCGGCTTAACTGCAATCTAGGGGGAACCATATCTCAATGACCTCTCTCGAACTTGAATCACAACTTTACTACTTTGTGTTTGCTTTGATTAGTTACAATTTCACTTCACTTAAACATCTAGATAACGAGAACTTCACAGAGTAGTCATCACATCTAGGACCCGTGTTGACAAATAAAGCTAAACCCGTTGTACTACGCATTAGTTTGTGGTTACACTTGGCAACTTTCTAGTGTGACGGTATAGGCGAGTCACTCCGTTTTCATATTGCGGGCCGGGAAGCTAATAGAGCGGCCCATTTGATGGCACATACTCTGTATCATTGGGAGAAGGAAGTTTGGTCTGCTAGACCACCTATTTTTCTGATTCCTATCCTCCAAACTGATTGTAATTCACACATTTTGAGACATTAATAAATGATACAGATATTCCAATAACAACGACTATAAACTCGAATTATTCTCTCGTTGATAACTTGATATACTAAATATTCATGAGACCATACTTGAGATCAGGCTAACCTCCAGAACCCTTGTTATAAAAAAGAAGAGAGATATTCTTGAGCTTACCTTTCCATAATACATATATATCGTGAAAATGCATTAATCCTGCCCTCCTTACCAAACAAACATGGACACATGATTATCATATATTTTATTGATTATATAATAATAAGGTCCATCTCCCCAATCTTCCACCTCCCACTTCTCACAATCATTCCCACAACAGAGCACAGTTCACCTTTCTATGCGGTTTTAACAAACCCAACATAAACATTCCCTTCCTCCTCACATTCCAGCACCCCCTATTACTATTTGAAACCCACATCCAAAATTTGCTCCTCCTTCTCTTTTCATCACCAACCATGTCTGTCACAGGCCTCTCATCATCATCATCATCATCAAAACTCTTCCACAAACCAATTCACCATCGAACTAACTCCGATGAGCTCGATATATTCGAAGCCGCCAAATACTTCTCGGGCTACAACGAACCAACTACTCACTACTACATCACAAGCAAAAACAGAGCATCCCTCGGCCGAGCACCCTCTGGCACCCGAAGAATGAGCTTAGAAATGCCAATGGAAAACATGAACAGTAAGAAATTGCAAATCGTGAAGGAAAATAATTTCGTTAGCAGCAACACAAAGCCACACAAGCAGCCCAACTCGCCAGTAGGGAAGCTGTCCAACTTCTTAAGTACTCTGTTCCACCAAGCGGCAGGGGGTTCCAAGAAGAAGCCACCAAATTCGGACGGAGGCGGCGAGAGCCCATGTGGCGGCGAAGCGAGGAAGAAGAGGAGGAGCAGCATAAGCTATTTCACTAGATCATTTGCTGATACCAAGTCCTGGTACTCAACTACATCGTCGAAATCCGGGTTCAGGACTCCGCCGCCGCTTTACACTCCGACCAAGGCCGGGTTTAGAACCGTGGTTTGCGGTGGGAATCAGAAACCAGTTTTCGGTGGGGATTCCTCGTGGTCGTGGTTGGATGAAAATCTGGCTAAGCTTAGCAATGATGGGTTGTTGTTGAGTGCTTGTGAGAAATCGAAGGTTGGTGGTGGTTCTAAATTTTTTGGAGGTGATGATGGCGATGATGGAGGTGAGAGTGATTCCAGCTCTGATTTGTTTGAGCTGCAGAACTATGATTTGGATGCTTGCCCTAGCGGTCTGCCTGTTTATGAAACTACTGATGTGGGTAGCATCACAAGTGGAAATGGTACCATATGACTGATCAGTGATATATGAGGACTGATTATTTGTTTGGGAAATATGATGATCTTTGTGTATTGTCGTTGTTTAATTTTGGTTATTAGGTGGTTGTGGATCTTTTGTTTTCATGTTGTCCTTTGTTGTTTTTACTGTTTGAAGTCGTGTGAAGAAGAAATTAGAATTATGGGATTTTATTTTACCAATTTTGCTTCTTGCTCAATTGACCATTGAGTGGTTGCCCAATGCCTATGGTAAAATCGACAATACCGAGGTGCTTAGTGGTTTAGAGATTGGGCTTTCAGCCATTAAGAATTGCGGTTTTAGCTTGTGTTGCAATGCTTCATCAACATGTGGATAATTGGATATGCAATGGGCTTTCTCTTAGTTATTACATAAACCACAGAGAATTTGTATAGAGTATAACCGACCTATAATAACACTAACACTAATACAAAAATTACTTAACTTCTACGATTTTGATATAAATATAACTCTGTCCAATTACATAATAGTACTTGCAGTATAACACAATACTACTCGTATTCTATTACCCTCCGCAAATATAGGGTAATTAATTACCAACAATTTGAAAATCGAAATAAAATCGACACAAATTACGTATTGTTAACGATGTGACCGTATAAAAAATGAAAATGAAAAACGTAATTGCTCTGCCGAATATGTCAATGTCGATGAATACTATGTATCATACCTTGTGAAACGTCGATGGTGATAAGCAGGAGATAACAAAAATTCTTACCAAAGTCATCTAGTTTGTCAAACCAAGAGTCCAACAAAATAATTTATTACTCGCCACAAGTGCACACAGACGGAAGCGGAAAACCAAGCAATAATCAAGAAGGAAGATACTCCACAAGAAAGAGCCAGTACTCTAGAAATTTTGTTGTGACGGACACAGAACCACTTACTTCGAACAACATGGCAATCAGGATGCTTCGAATAGCATCATCGAAGCTAAAAACAAACAAAAATGCTTTAGACATCATTGATCAACTAGAGATGTTTTGAACAACACTTCCAGAACTGAAACAGAGAAATCAAAGTGATGAAAACTATGCTTGTACGAAACTAAGACAGGCTTGAACAACGCTAGGTGAAAATCTTTTTAATCTCCACCATTACCAACCAATCAAAACAACATCAGTAATATCCAATACCAATTAGTCCCCAAGAAATCAAATTACTTCTTATCCACCGACTGAAGCAATCCAATTTGAACTGCAACCTAACTCAAGTGCAATCAACCAAAAGTCCAAAACCCATATCTAGCATCCTAATTCCAATTTCGAACAAAAATGACACTCGAGTTTGATGGAAATTTCAATAATTCCAAACCCAGATTGATAAATAAACCAAGCTGTAAACTTGAGTTACCAACACCATTGAGCGAAAATAATCTTGTGCGAACAAAACACAAATAATGTCAAACTTCAGCCTTCACAGTTAAAAATATTTAACCCAAAAATTCAGCAACTAGGTCTAGTATCAAATGCTGAATACAAACAGCTGCACCAACATATCAATAACATACTATATGACCAACCAAGCTTTGGGCGGATCTAACACACGTGCTTGAACAATTTGAGGAGGCAGGAGAACAAGCATGATGCAGATTTGATCGGACATCTTGGCAAAAAGCTGGGCACAGAAAAGGTGAATGAGACGGTGGTAACAAGGGATTATCTTTTTTTTTTTTGAAACACATAGCATAACCGAGCAAAGGAAACAAATAATCACCACGGGAAAAATGGTCTCTTGCAACCCCCAAAAAAGTGTTGCGCAAAGCCTTAAAAGAGTTGCAAAATCCTATCGCAACACTTTTACTAGGGTTGCATATAGTGGGGGTTGCAGAAAGTATAGGCAACTATTTTTTCATTTTTTGCAACCAAAATAAAACGGGTTGCATATTCTTATTTTTTGCAACGCCTCTTTAGGCAACACATTACAAAACTTTTGAAATCGAAATTCTACCCTCGTATTAGGCTTTATACCATCGTTAATACTTTTTAGAGGGCTTAATTTTCTCTAGTTGATTGTAACAATTAGTACCAAAATAATAATAAAGTCGTGGGAGCCTCTCCATTAATGTGCAAAGCAACATATACAAACAAATTTAGTATTAGAGATTCATTATTTTATTATGAGAACTACAACTATCCATCTGTTCCTTCATTGCATAATAGAATGTATGGAACTGCAGAAATACAACTCTGTGTGGAGGAAAATATATCACAATCTGATGTCTGAATATAACAAGAGTATTACACACCATCCCACAAGCTCCTTAGATCTTATCTTCATCTTCAAATTCAATGCAATCATCTCCTGTACCTTCATTCACCTCATCTAGGCCTCTCTCATTGGGACGAGTGTTCCTTGGAAGCTCACCATGCGCCATGAGAAACCTGGTTCATCTGACATGTACTTCATGACATAGAGCCTAGCTTCAAAGCCACAAGCACCACCTTAAACACAAAGCCTTCCTGACCAAACGAAATTCATGGTTGTAAAGCATCCAAAGCCGACAATATCAACCATGTTTTCAAGTAAAAGCCTGTTGCAAGTGAAGAAGTTGGTTGCAACATCAATCTGAATATCATAGACGCCATTTTTCAATTAAAAGTCCACCAAGAAAGCAATAAAACCCAATTGAATGATGTAAAATGAAAAACATAATTTTTTTTTTTTTTCGTTGAATCAGTTACCCCTTTATTAAGTAACGAATTGCCAAAGCAGCAATCCAAGATACAACGAAAAGCAAGGATACCAAAGCAGCATCCCCACGCAAAAGAAAAGAACCAAAGGAACTCTGCTAGCGACTAAAAACAACCAGCAGCATTAATACACCCTACCCTCCAACTACTGCAGACCTAACATGTGTAAATCCCTCAACATTAATTCTCTAATTACATGAACTTCTCGCGGAGCCTCATCATGGTATCTCCTACAGCGTTCCTGCCAAATATAAGTGACAAATAGACACCATTTAACATTAATCCCACGCTGAGAATCACGCTGCACTGCTGCACATAGAGCCTGCACAGTCGCCACCCAAGAGCCTCGGGCCAACCCATCCTGCACAAACCCCTGCATCAACAGCCGAGTATATTCACAAGTAACAAAAAGATGATCTCTTGTTTCACTTTCTAGGCCACAAAGGACACACTTGTCCTCATTCACCTTCCCCCAACGCAACAGCTTACTCTTCGTTGTAATACCATCAAGTAAAACCAACCAGGCAATGAAACTAAAACGAGGCACATGATTTGGCCCCCAGACTAACTTATACCACTCCACAACGCTGTTCTTTGGACGTAGAGAATCCCAGACCCGCTTTACCGAGTATTTTTCCATAGGTTTCCCATCCCACCAGGCACAATCTCCTTGCCTGCTAAGAAGAGACTGCACCTGTGAACGTTTCTTCAGAATCTTCCGCCAAGCCCAGGAGCTATTAGAGTTCTCCTTCATGGTCCAGATGTCTCCCGTCTTGCAGCGATAACGTAGTGTCCAAGCAACCCAAATAGCACCTGATTTCATCATCAACAGCCACAACAATCGTAAAGAACAAGCAGTATTCCAGGAACTAAATTCCCGAATCCCCAATCCACCTTCCTTCTTAGGCCTGGCCACCCTTTCCCAACCAATTTCTGCTCTTCCTGTCTCACTGCCATGCCATAAAAAGTCCATACAAATCTTCTGAACCCTCTTCAAGATCTTTTTAGGCAATATGAATACCTGCAACCAGTACTGAAGCAGACCTGTCACCACCGAAGTAATCAATTGCAATCTCCCAGCAAATGTAAGTGTTTTTGCCCTCCACGACCTAACTTTCTTGGTAATCGCTGCTGCCAATGCCTCACAATCTCTATCCGTCAACTTCCCTGAGATAAGAGGCAATCCCAGGTACCTTACAGGTAGACAACCCTCAGTAAACCCTGATAAGTTCAGGGCATTTTGCTTATATCGAACTGATTCCCCTCCAAAGAATACTGAGCACTTTGCAGGATTGCACTTTAACCCCGATTGCCAATAAAACTGTTCCAGTACCTGCTTCACGGCCAATATAGCTCTAGCTGATCCCACTGTAAATATTAGCAAATCGTCTGCAAAACAAAGATGATTCAAAGAGATTTTGCTGCACAATGGATGGAAAGGGATCAGGCCCTGCTCAGAGGCCTTAGAGAGCATACCCGAGAGACCTTCCATTGCTACAGCAAACAGATAGGGGGAGAGGGGGTCCCCCTGCCTCACCCCCTTCTTAGCACAAAAGAAACCCTTCATTCCACCATTAATACAGATACTGAAATGAGCCGTTGATAAGCAAATATGGATCCAATCCAGAAACTTAGCAGGGAACTCCATCAGCCTCATAATCATAAACAAATAATCCCAGTTAACCGAATCGAAGGCCTTCATAATGTCTATCTTAACAGCACAGCGTGATGAGAGCTTTTCTCTATGATAACCACTAACCAGATCTTGAGCTAACATAATATTGTCTCCAATCTGCCTGCCTTTGATAAATGCAGTTTGATTAAGACTGATAACACTAGGCAACACCTCACTAATCCTCTTAGCTAAAATTTTTGCAATCACCTTATAAAGGACATTAATGCATGATATCGGACGAAATTCTTTAAAAGTCTCAGCATTAATTACCTTTGGAAGCAGTGCTACAGCAGTGGCATTGATCCCACTTATGAGCCTGTTGCTCTCAAAGAAGGCTTGTACCCCTTTTGTAATGTCTTCTCCAACGATGTGCCAGGTTCTCCTGAAGAAACCAGAGGAGAACCCATCAGGGCCTGGCGCCTTGTGAATGTTCATATGGAAAACCGTTTCCCTGATTTCTTCCACCGACACAGGCTGGCATAACAACTCTTTGCTCTGAAGAGAAAGCTGCTTATGAATCACCCCCGTCAGAAACTGCTGATCTGGCTTGATTTCTGAGTTAACCACACCAAACAACTTCTGATAAAAACCCACCGCAGCTTCAGCCACCTGTTCCACATCCTCAATCACCTCACCATCCTCTGTTTTAACTCTTCGAATAGCTCTTTTGGCTGTTCTGATTTTCACAGACTGGTGAAAATATCTAGTACTCTTGTCACCTCTCTTTAGACCGGCCTCCCTTGATTTTTGCCAATACAAGCCCTCCTCAGCTTTTTTTG